TCTGACAGAGGGGAGTCCAATCTCTTCTTGAAAGTCTCAATTGATGGTGCTCCCAGAACTTCCGAGGGCAAGCTGTTCCATTGGTTGATTGTTCTCACTGTCAGAAAGTTTCTCCTTATTTCCAGGTTAAATCTCTCCTTGTCCACTTTCCATCCATTATTCCTTGTCTGGCCTACAGGCGCTTTAGAAAATAGCTTGACCCCTTCCTCCCTGTAGCAGCCCCTCAAATATTGGAAGACCTCTATCATGTCTCCCCTGGTCCTTCTCTTTACTAGACTAGCTAAGCCCAGTTCCTGCAACCGTTCATTGTATGTTTTAGCCTCCAGTCCCCTAATCATCCTGGTTGCTCTTCTCTGTACTTTTTCTAGAGTCTCAACATCTTTTTATAATGTGGTGAACAAAACTGAATGCAGTACTCTAGGTGTGGTCTTACTAAGTCTTTATAGAGTTGTATTAGGACCTCACTTGATCTCGATAGTATCCCTCTGTTAATGCAATTTAGGATTGCATTGGCTTTTTGGGCTGCTGCTGCACACTGGTGGCTCATATTTAGCTGGTTGTCCACTAAGACTCCAAGATCCCTCTCACAGTTACTGCCATTGAGCCTTGTTTCACCCAGTCTATATGTGTACTTTTGGTTTTTCTTGCTTAAGTGTAGAACTTTACTTTTCTCTACATTGAATTTCATTTTGTTAAATATGGCCCAGTGTTCTAGTCTGTCAAGATCCATTTGGATCTTGACCCTATGTTCTTGGGTGTTAGCTATTCCTGCCAGCTTAGTATATCATCTGCAAATTTGGTAAGTTCCCCTTCTATTCCCACATCTATGTCATTAATGAAGATATTGAAGAGTACTGGGCCTAAGACGGAACCTTGTGGCACCCCACTGCTTACTTCCCTCCATGTAAACTTAGACCCATTAAGGACTACTCGTTGAGTACAGTTTGTCAGCCAGTTTCGAATCCATCTGGTGGTGCTGCTATCTGTCCCAATTTTTTCTAGCTTACCAAGAAGTAGGTTGAGGTCTACTTTGTCGAATGCCTTGCTGAAATCTATGTATATTATGTCCACAGTATTTCACTGGTCTACTAATTTAGTCACTATGTTGAAGAATGAAATACTGTATATACTCGAGTATAAGCCTAGTTTTTCAGCCCATTTTTTGTGCTAAAAAAACCCCCCTCGGCTTATACTCGAGTCAGATTCCCCTCTGAAAAAAAAATGGTGTGGAGCTCTGGAGCTGGGCAGCCGCTTCCCTGCTTCCGTGTTTCCTTTGCAACTTGTAAGCATGGGGGTAATCGGAAGCAGAAAAGTTCTTGCATGAGGATATATTGTTTTTTCTTTTTTTAACTGTTTTTAGGGGGGGGGGAAAGACCCACCATCATGTGAGAATGCTCAGACACGAAATCTATCCTCCCGAAAATAAGTGTGTGTGTGTGGGGGATTTTAACAGAGGGAAGACGTAGGGAGAAGGCAAAAGCAACGGAAGATCCTTCTGGGGAAACTGAGGGGGAGACTCACCCTTGGTCCAGATGAGCCCCCTTCCCCGCCCCTAAGGAAGCAGAGGCAGCCAGCAAGGGCAGGCAAGCCCCACTTCGTGGACTCCAGCCGTCCTCGCTCCCACCCAAAGCCACGAAGTCCCCCAATCGCGCAGCCCAGATTCGCCCTCCCCTCAGGGGGCAGCAACGACGCCTGGTGTTTCCCGAGACAAGAAGCTCCGCCGTGCAATGAAAGCGCCCTGGCTCTAGGCTCGCGGGCTCAGAAAACAACGCTAGCCGAGGTGGCTTCAGCTCCGCTTGGCTTCGTTTCCTCAGCCCCAGCTGCTTTCAGTCCACTCAGGAGGAGGAGGAGGTGGTGGTGTGGTGGTGGCTCGCGTTGTTTTCTGAGCTCTAGGCTCGCAGGCTGTCCTAGAGAAAGTTTTTATTGGTATCTATTTTTATTTTTGAAATTTACCAGTAGCTGCTGCATTTCCCACCCTCGGCTTATACTCGAGTCAATAAGTTTTCCCAGTTTTTTGTGGTAAAATTAGGTGCCTCGGCTTATATTCGGGTCGACTTATACTCGAGTATATACGGTAAGATTGGTTTGGCATGATCTGTTTTTAACAAACCCGTGCTGACTGCTAGTTATTACTTTACTTGTTTCTAGATGTTGGCAGATCTGGTTTTTTATTATCTTTTCCAGTATCTTCCCAGGTATTGATGTTAGGCTGATTGGTCTGTAGTTTCCTGGGTCTGTTTTTTGTTTTTTTTAAAGATGGGAACCACATCAGCTCTTTTCCAGTCCTCTGGTAGTTTCCTGGTGCTCCAGGATTTTTGAAAGATATGGTTCAGTGGTTCTGAGATGACCTCTGCCAGCTCCTTTAAAACTCTGAGATGTAATCCATCAGGCTCCCCGTGATTTGTGTTCATCAAGATCAGACAGATGTTCTCTTAATTTGCTTATTTTAACTTTTATTTCTGGTCTGTCTTTTACAGTTATGTTTTTGGTGGGTTGAGCTATAGTTTGTTTTTGCTTGAAGACCAATGCAAAGAATGAGTTAAGCAGTTCTGCTTTCTCTGTGTTGCCTGTTACTTCCTTGCCGTCTTCTCTCCTTAGTGGACTGATTTGCTTCCTTGATTCTTTCCTTGATATGTTGGAAGAAACTTTTTTTATTCTCTTTGACTTTTGTTGCAAGACTTTGTTCGTTCTGAGCCTTTGCTTTCCTGTCTTCGTCTTTGCAGATTCTGGCTATCTGCTGATATTCTGCCTTAGTTGTATGTCCCTCTTTCCAATTTTTGTACTTGTCCTTTTTCCTTTCAATTTGCCAGAGAGATCTTTGTGCAGCCATGCTGGTTGAATCTTGGATTTCTTGTTTTTCTTTCTCAGTGGTGTTGTGCTGGTCTGGGCTTCTATTATCGTACTTTTCAGAGTTTCCCAAGATTCTTGAGTTGTTTTTCCCTTTAGGATGGAATCTTTCCCAAGTTCTCTCTGAATTTATTAAAATCAGCTCTTTTAAAATCTAAGACTCTGGTGTCATTATGTTCTATTGCTTGTGTTTGTGTTGAATTCTAGTATGACATGGTCACTCTCACCCAAGGTTCCTGCAGTTTCAACTCCCTCTATCACTTAATCTCTGTTTGTAAGAATTAAGAATTAATTATAGAATGGGAGCAGTGAGGAGATTTGGAGCAGTAATCTTGGAGAGCTGAGGAAATCTATAAGAAGGTGAAATATATATATACACCAATATGGTTATCTACACTGGAAGCTTTAGCATATCCAAATCTGCTTGGCCAAGGGAAAATTATTACATATAAAGACATTCTAAATGAGACAGGAGAATTGAAATCAAGCAAGAATTAAAAGAACAAGGGGTGGATCTGGAATGGTGTGCTTAGTTACAAGTTCAATCATGATATAGAAAATATATGAAAGAACAGGGAATTAGCAGATAGAAAATGAAATTAGATGAAATATTACTGGGAGCAGATGATAAATTGATAAGGAAAATTTACAGACTTTTATTGGAATATAAATTAGAGGAGGAACAAGTAAAAAACGATGTTGGTTTGGGCAAAAGATATTGGATATGGTATTAATTTGGACAAATGGCAAATCTTATGGGAGAGAAATAAAACAACAACATTGGCCACATCGTATAAAGAAAATTTATACAAAATGTTTTACAGGTGGCACATCCCACCAACAAAATTAGCTAAAATGTATCCAAATTTATTCCCTATTCGTTGGAAATGCTCCCAGGAAAACGGATTGTATTATCATACATGGTGGGCTTGTAAGAAAGCCCAGGAATTTTGGCATAAAATTCAGAGTTGGTTAGAAGAAATGGGTGAGGTTAAACTTGAGTATAAACCGGATTTTTTTCTGCTGGGAATCAGTACAGAAAGATACAATAAGGAACTAATGTATCTAATAATACATGTTCATCATAATACGTGATCACAGCAGCAAGATTAGTTTATGCTCAAAAGTGGAAAGTTAAGGAAATTCCTGATGAAACCAAGATAATTAAAAAGATATGGACATGCGCCAAAATGGATAAATTAACTTTGGAATTAAAAAATAAGGATGAGACTGAATACTATAAAGTATGGGACAAATTTTACCAATGGTGGGGAAAAAGGAAGGGCTTTAAAATTAAAATAAGATAAGGATGTTAAGGTAGTAGATTAAAAATATGGAAAATTGTTGTAATGTATACATGTATATACTGTATTATGTAAATTTGTATTATATTCTTGTCCACAATAGATATGTATGACAAATAGGTTTGTCAGGACGATTACATCACGTTCATTGTTTTTAATGTTTTTGTTCAATAAAAATTTATTTAAATTTTTTTTTTAGCCACCCACAACTAAGATCAAGCTGCCAGTTACTACAATATTAAACTATCCTGCCCAAGCTATGTCTGACATCCTCTGAATTAATGCAACATGTGCTAAATGAAGTGACTTTTCAGCATGTTAAAAATTATGTATTGGAAAAATAAGTGTTTCTGCCAATGAGATAGAAGAGGATTGAATGTTTTTTCATAAGATATACAAATCAGTTGTTTTTAATAAACACTACGTTTAGGTATAATATCAATTATTCATTGTTATGGGGTCTGCTTACTACTACCATCTGTATAGAACCGTGATGGCAAACCTATGGCACGTGTGCCGGAAGTGGCACACAAAGCCATCTCTGCTGGCACGCGAGCTGTCACCCCAGCTCAGTTCCACTGCGCATGTGCATGCGCCTCCCGCCAGTCAGCTGATTGTCGGGTATCTGCCATGCATGCGTGGGGGGCAGGGCGCATGCAAGAGACACACGTGCATGCACGGGGGTGGGGGAGTGTGCGGGGTCACGTGCGCAGGGGGCGGGGGAGCATGCGCACATTGCATTATGGGTGCAGGCATGCATGCGCACTTTTGGCACACAATGACGAAAAGGTTAGCCATCACTGGTATAGAATATAAATTATGGGGTTTTTGTGATTTTTTTTCCAGCTTAGGTGATCCATATATTTCTCTTTGAGGAGCCAAAAAACAGGCAGCTCATGACTTCTGATCAGGACACTAAAGTTGTGGCTGAATGGCAGGTACAGCAAGTACAAGAAGTTAAGGACAATTCTCATCTGGTAAGTATTCAGATCATCTTGACTAGCTGTAGCTTGCAAATGTAATTAATTTAGGCATTGTGTATTATGCTGTATGTGCTTGCCTTTGGTAATTTGTCATTCACTTTTACAAAATCCATTTGTAGCAAATAGTCTTCTCATGCCACTTTAATATACTTTTTCAGATTTTAGTTATGCTGACTAATACTAACTTAAATGAAGAAGTTACCTAATTGATTTTGCCAATAGTAGGGAGCAGCAGATGGGTCTCCTTATGGTTTTAACTTCAAATCCTATCAGCTCTGAAAACATTGCTAGAGGCCAAGATTAGTAGGAGTTATGGTTCAGAAATCTGCTTACTCCTGACCAGTTGTATTATTAGTCTAGATTGAGAAATGTGTTACCATATATTAGAGATGCAAAACAAAAGCTTTTATAAGTATGATTCTCTAGCAAGAAATGGCTCATTGGTTCTTCTGGGAAAGTTAGTCTCTACAAAATAACATATAAAAATGAAAATGGGATTCTTACAACATTGCATGTCTTTAATACAAGTACAGTCATTCATTGGGAAAGCAAGATTTCTTTTTCATGTTTTAATTTGTAGCAGAGAAGACAGGCACAGTTCATTTACCAAATCCCAACAGGGGAAGGAAGTATTGGATGAGATTTTGCAAAGGCAGTGTTCCAAATTTCCTACAGTGAGATTGTAGAAATGGCTTATACAATTCTTTTGACCAAATCCCAGTGAGAAAAAAATATCTACATTAGCAAAATTACTGTGATGAACATTTTGACCTTTATTTAAATCATCATCTTCATTTAATGACCCCATAATCCCTTGCGGGGTGGAGTCTGGGCAACTGAATGGAGCTAGCAGAGTGTTTTAATGGCCGGATGCCCTTCCTGTTGCCAATGCGGAGTTTTGTTCAGCAGATATATTCTCAGTGTGCTCAGAGAGAGAAATATCTGCCTCTACCTAGGACCCAACTCTCAGCCTTGCGAGGCAAGAGCTCCACCTCTAGGCCACAACACCACTCCTTTGACCTTTATTTAAATAATGATGTAATAACATTTGTATTTTGATCAAACAGAAGGAACAGGTTGTTAATTACATTTCTCTGAGGTATCTACAGTAACTCTTTAATGAGAAACTTGCTTCCTTCATCCATTTTGAAATTTTTTGAAATCAACTTGAAGTGTATTCTCAGGCATCTAAATTGTTACTAAAGCCATATCAGAGATTATCTAAATTGCTGTTAACAATAGAAAGCATTCTTTTTATAACTAGTACTAGTAAAAGGAAAGGATTGCGTTTGACAGCCACAGAAATTAAAGAGGATTTCAGTTGTGATTAGATTTTCATACTGGTGTCACTAGACCTAAATTTCATAAATATACCCTGAATCATTTTTATTGGTTTCTGAATTGGTGGACATTGTTCATTTGCCTATTTAAGATAAATAATTTAATTGTATTAATTATATATTGCCAAATACAGACATGGCCCTGATATAGGGGTGTATACAAAGTTTTTAAAAATGTTTGGTTCAGAATGTTTATGGAGATTCTCAGTCATCCAGGTCATGGTTGTCCCAAAGGTGCTTTTTTTCAAAAGACAACCAGACTTCCTTTGTTTTTCCTTAAAGATGTTTCACTTCTCATCCAAGAAGCTTCTTCAGTTCTGACTGAATGGGAGAAATGGAACTCCACCATTATTATAGCCTGAAGGAATTACTAATTTCACATAGGAAAAGGATGTGCTGTATCAACCTAGGGCTCCCCAGATGTGGTGGGTTACAGTAATTCCCAACATGCAGAGCCATTTATTGTTACAAATAAATTCAATGCCAGGAAATTGTAACCATCAGTCTTCTTCATTCCTTGACAATTAGGTTTCCATGTTTCAAGTATTGGTACTTTTTGTTTTGTTAGTCTAATTTTTTTTCTGTTGATATGAAGTACTTCATGAAGGTGCAAGAACATATATACTACCTTGGGGGTTGGACTAGAAGACTTCCAAGGTCCCTTCCAGCCCTATGATTCTATGAAACAATATGAGTAATATTTCAGTTGCGCTGTCCATTTCTAAGGAAGGCCACAGGACAATATATGCATCATTTATACTTTTCACTATCTCAAACTAAAAGATTAAGAAGGAAAACTATTGTTCAAGCCAAAATAATTTTGCCAGAAATCATTTTGTTTTTTGACTCTCTTCAAGAAGGGGGCCAAAATCTTCAGCCTATATTTGAAGCAAATATGGATACACTATGCAAAACTTTTAAAGTGCTTGAAGTGTTCTAGATTTTTTCTACAAATCTGGGAGAAAAAAGAGCATTTTACTCCATTCTGTGTGTTCCCCAAAGGGAACAATATGAACTTAAAATAAGCATTTGCTTCATTGTTTTTTTTCCTGTACAGTGACAAAAATAGATGAGGTAAGTATTCCATGAGGTAACTTTCTACTGCCCAACCTAGAGAAAAATTGCTCAAGGAGGTATTTTTCATTAAAAACAAGCAAACAAACAAACAAAAGTTATCCTGAACAATGTTTTATTTTCCTGTGTTGGAACATTCAAATGTTCAAGTTTGTTTGGTCAAACAAGTTCAAAGCAACTTGAAATGTTCCAGTATTCTTAATGGATTGTTCTTTTGAGCTCTGAACCAAACCCAAAGATGCTTTTTTTTTTCCAAAAGGCAATTGGACTTTGTTTTTCCTTGAAGATGTTTCACTTCTCATACAAGAAGCTTCTTCACTTCTCAATGAATGGCACTAAATGAACTGCTGTAAGTCGAGAACTACCTGTACATATGGTGTAATGAGTCAGCATTTCTTACCACAAGCTGAAATGGAGACTGTTGAAGATAATGATGCAATTTCAAGTAGAATGGATAGGGAAATAGCAGCTTTGACCTCTTTATGTTTTGATATGGACATCATTATAATGCCCAGGATGAATTCTACAGTATTTGTATAATTGACAGTGATTTGAGAAATGAAGAAAGGCAAGCAGTGGCTAATGAAGAGACTATTACAATTGTAAAACCATCAGCAATACCAGAAGACTACAGTTTAGCATTCCCTGTGAAAGAGGAAAGAACTCTTAGCTCAGGAAGCAGAGCATGGGCCAGTTAATATCAGCATTCTGAAATACAGTACTAGAAAGTGAAAAGAAAAAAAAATCATCCCCTTGGCTTATTGAGTGAGGGTTATAGGTTAAATATTGAAAGCATAGCAACATGTGATTTAGAGGCACAAGCACGTGTTGAAGAAGGTCCACAAAATAGAACTTGGGAAATGGATATGCTTAATAGTAGAATCACTTTGAATGAATCAGATTATGAAGACAATTCTCCAATGCCTAAGCTTGTGGACATAGACATTAATTCTTTGCAATTAAGAAGGTTAGCATATGCATGCAATTTCGGTCCTGATGTTGGCTGTAGCAATGACATTAAAGTTTGAATGTAATGAAAATCCAAGTACTGATGGAAAATATTGTAAATATTTGTTATCAAAGCCACTGTTTCTCCCATGAGCTGTTCAGAGCATCCAGAATTGGGAGGTGCTTCAGTCTCTTCTGGAAAGGCTGGGCTTAAAACTCCGGGACGCTCCTCCTCCTCCACGGGACACCTCCTCAGCGTCCCCCAGTTTTAGCTCAGCCTTCGTGGTAAGAGGTTGTGCACTCCCTGACTGGAACGGTTGTTTTTTCTGATTCAGGTTTGCTCTTGTGGTATTTTGGCATTTAAAATTCTTTCCCATTTAATTTGGATTTGTCAGGCTTGTCCCTTTATTAGGTTAACTAGCTCAGTTCAAAAACAGTTTCCCTTTTCAAATAGCAGAGCCTGCCACTCCGCAGGCAGCTTGAGGCTTCTGCCTCAGGCAACTCCTTATCTAACATTCCGATCACTTTCTTTGCGATCGGAGCGGAGCGCTCGCAGCCGCGGCTCACTTTCCCTTGCTGTTTTGCCTGACAGCCCATTTAGATTGCAAGTTAGAGCCTCGGCAGCATTTAGATCGTGAGTGGGAACCTCTGCAGTAGCGGCTCATTTGACAGCTCAGTCAGTAGCAACAGTGATTCTGCTTCCCGCCCTTTTCAACGGCTGCCTCAATTTCGTGCCTAATTGTCACAGCCTCCATTTCTCGCTGGTTTCCCTTGCTGGGGACCGAGACATTAACTTTCCATTGTGCCTTCCCTGGATTTACCTATTCCTCTGGCTAACGTTACAATAACCGGCTGCTCATTAAACAGGCATTTCTTTGCAATTGCCTTTGGATCTTTTATTCAGACGCAAAGGGCAAGTGACATTTATATTGCGGAACGTTTATTTCTGACAGGCAAGGAGGCATATCAGAGCCTGTAATAGCTGGTTTCCCTTGCTGGGGACCAGAGATCCAGAGTTTTTCCCTCACTTGAAGCACTTGGGGGTTTCACTTGCTGGGGACCCTTAGATACTGTTCACCTTTTAGACTGTTCTACCTATAGATTTTCAAATATCAACCACAATATTAATAATAATCATAATAATTTAAAAAAAATTAAAAATCAAATTTACATTCAGAGGCAGACAATCCATCATACACAATGGAACGTGACAACGCTTTCCGCTCCAGGCCCAGTAAGTCCCGAGACAAGCCAGTGGGCCCCAAAAAGGTCTCTAAGGCGGCAGATAAGGATGCCCATAGACGGCACCTAGCTTTGGAAAGGCAATTGCAAAAACGCGCCAGGAAGGCAGACAAGATGGTTATAACACAGCAATCTGATCAGAACCCAAACCCATTGATGGGGCCCTTGGACTTATCTACCCAGCCCAGACAGCCTGTTTCTGGTCAACCCCCCATAGTCACATCTCCCCCATTGAGCACTGCCCGGCCAACTCCAGAGGCAACCTTCACACCTACGGCCGCTGGCCTAAGACAGGAGGAGGGATTACCTGAGACTATCCCCATTGAAATGAGGCAATGGATGGAGATGGCGATTCAAAGGGGCATTGCGGCTGGACTTCAGCAATCCATC